GTCAGAAGTGACTTCCTGTAACTACTGCCACTGCAGAGACACCCAGGAGATTGCTTTGGTGGACATCAGGAATTGTGTAGCCTCAGAGCAGGGGTAAAAGCTGGCTTTACAGACACTTTATATCAAATACAGAAATGTCTGCTTTTTTCTGACACTGTAATTAACTGTACAGTAAATAACATGCCTCTGGTAGATTATATGGTATGATGCATGACCACTTGGCATTACATTTTAAGATTATGTTTCAGGTTTGGGAATCCATTTTTAAAGGTGCTATATAAAAATTATTTATTTCAACTGTAGGTGATAGGCATTCAACCAAATGCATGCATTAAGATTAAGATATGTTTAATAGATACAAAGCAAAGTACAGATAATGGACAAAGGCTCTGACTGAAGTGATGTAATTAGCAGAGGGATCTATATTAGACTGTAGACTGTATTAGACTGTTAGTCCTGTTTTAAATCAATGATCTAGATTCTAGCATAGTTAGTAAACTAGTCTCAGATCACAGTTTAAAGATGATACAAACAATAAAATGATTGCTGCAAAAGACATTCAAATATTTAAACAGAATTCAAGATCTAAATCAAGAGAAACATCTGATTTAATTTCATGTAGACAGACTGTATACAGTATGAAGAGTTACAGGCAAGTAAACATTGTATCTAGATGTACAGTTATAAGTTTAGAATTTAAGTAAATGGATGTAACATTAAATTATTCAATATACTATTAAAGGCTCACTTTAATACTGTGAATACTGTGAATACTGTATACAATTCTGGTTTACAAAAAATATAATGCAGCTCTGTTCTTTAGAATATTTCCAGGTATGTGTTATCAGGTACATTCCCAGACCCAAAGGAATGTGTTACTGTAACAAGCTAAAAGAACTAAATCGTTTTAGTCTCGAACAGAGAATACTGTGATGGCACCCGGTTCAATTAGTCCAGATCTTCAAATGCATTGACAAAGCTAACCCTCCAGGCACTCTCAGAATCCTCAGTGAAACACAATTAAAACTGAAAAAAGAGACCCTTCTTTACTCAAAATGTTTGTGGGAGTCACGTTTTTCCAGCCATGTTGAAGACAATGCTGTTTCACCTTTCAAGATGGCTTGATGAGATCCTTAGATCAGTTAGCTACTAGAACCCAAAAAAAAACTAGCTGGGCTAAATAGCTCCCTCTCTTTCACAAACTTTAAAAATTACAGTATTAGTGTTAGTACATCCTAGCAGAGTTTTAAGCCAGGTTATGCTAACATTCAATACCACTTTCTAAAAAAAACACTAGCCTTTCAACTTGTTGATCTTTCCATGGGGAAACAAAATAACTAATAATTAACAGCTGACATCATTAGCTATCATAGACCAATTGTTTTTTTCACTCTTTTTCTTTTTAAACTAATATAAAGTGTTCATATGACAAAATTTGCAGTACATTGCCCGTTCAAAACTAAATTATGATGAAGCTGCTGATCCAAATCACAGAAGAATACGAATCTGGGGCCTCTGTAGTCTAACACATGGGCACTGCCACTATAACACAAGACCCATCCCACTCTGGGGGCTTTGGAAATATGCTTAAGGCTGTTGTTATCACAGAATGTATGCAGAAGCAAGGCCAAGTAGTTTAAGGGGACTCTGCTGTGAATGATTTCCTACAGATGGTGGCTGATGAAGCCAGAAGAGAAAGCTCAGGGGAATCAAAGCATCAATGCAGCACATATACCTGTAGACAGACTAGAACCACCACCTCACAAGACAAGACTTAATTCCCAAACATATAATTTGAAAACAAGTAATGTATGTCTTCAAAATTTACAGAAATTGTCCTTATTCAGGATCTAATTATAAAGGTGTTAACCCAGGTGATTTTGTGTTTCCATATAAATCCCAAGTAGGCAAAACTTACAAATAACTTCCAATTTTTTAATTCACACAATGAGAACTTTCTCAATTTTTTCTATAAGTCATTTGTAATTTCAAATTCCAACCTGGTGAATTAATTAATCAGTACTGGCAAGAACAAAAGAGTACTTTTCCCAAATAGGGTCTTTTTCTGAAATTCACCTTTTCAGGCTCCCCATCTGTGGTATCTAATGAACACCCTGTCTAACCTGCTACCTACATCATTACCACTGTTTCAAATCTACTTTCTATAATATAACATTTTTCTGACCAATAATTTTGACTATTTCTTTTTTTTTTTTTGGTTTACTTCTCTTACACTGCTTATTTTAACATACAAATGACGTTGTGGCCCAATTCGTGGAGGTAAGGGCTTGGATCTGATTACCTAACTGTTCCAGTTACCCACAAATCATTGTATGACATAAGATTTTACGTTTCCAGTTGTGACCCCCTGATCATGTTGTACTTTATTTCAAGTCTGAAACATGTCTTTATATACATACTGTACGCTTGAATCAAATCTCCACTCAATTTTCTTCATCCTAGACTAAAGAGATTTAGCACCTCTAACGTATCCATATACAACAATCTTCTGAGACCAGGAGTCAGCCTTGTTGCTCTC